TGTTGCTGTTTCTGCTGTTGCTGTTGCTGTTGCTGCTATGATGATGATGGTAAAGACTTCGGTTGACGCTGTGGCAGCTGACGGTGATAATGGTCATGGTAATCATGACACTGGCGGTGACAGCGGTGATTGTGTCGAACAGGACGTCGGATAGAAGCATCGTTTGTAACAGATTGTGCTCATTACAGGCTTCTCCTGCACATTCCACGACGATGCACGAAGCTTCGAATGTCTCAGATTCCAGGCTATCTATCTGTCTGTCTCTCTAGCTATCTATATCCATCTATCTATCTGTACGCAGCTGTTGAGCGCACGTCTAATTATCTCTCGCTGTCGCACGGTTGACAACACCGATATACGATGTATATACGATTTACATGTATACTCAGTGTACATATAAAGAAACACCTCTACACACGTGCAAGATTCTGCGCGGCTTGCACCGCACACCTAGTTACTACATACTTCTACACCCTACACAATGCACATCTACAAGTCAAACAGTTGGGCATTCCTGCTGGTGCACACTCACCATTACTGGCCAGGGGATTACACAGAAAATGAATACTCAGGGTAAGCTTCAATAAGGAGACGTTGCTTGGAGCTTTAGGTCGAGGAGTGTTGCATGACTTTGCTCAGTTTTTGCAGTTGGGCCCGTCAGAGCAGTTCAGTGTGGAAGCACTGAGCTGAGCATCGTTGGCAGGAAACGTCTTTGTCTGCCAACTGTAGCTACTACTTTACTATACTTCTCCTAGCAACTGTTTTGCGAATCCTAACAGCCCAAGCGACAAAATGCGAACAGCAACAGCAACAACACTAGCAACTCTACTACTGTCAGCTGTAAGGCTGTAAGGAAAGCGCAGGGACAGCAGTACTTGGAGGCTCATGGGTAGTTATAAGTCGGATTATGAGTAAGGTAACTATAATTATAACCCATATTAGGGGTCTTATAACCCTACTTACTAAACCCTAAACCCTAAACCCTAAACTTATAACCACCCATGAACAGCAGCACTTGGACCTAGAACCGAACACGTCGTGCTCTGCCACTTGGCTCAATGACTGGCCCCCAAAATCTGGTGCGAACTCTCCCAGAGAGCCCAACACCCCTTAAGTAAGGAGTATGCCTTAAATCACAATATTAAGGCCCCTATAATTTAAGGTCTATTCCTATAAACTATACCTTAAATCATAATATTAAGGCCCCTGTAATTTAAGGTTTATTCCTATACACCCTAAACCCTAAACCCTTATAGATCCCCTTAAGGCCCCTATAATCTAACGTATATACTCCTTATTTAAAGGATATCTTAGGCTCTCTGGGAGGCCCTGTGCAAAGCGGGATCTCCACTTCTCGAGCCGGGCAGCGGCTCCCTCACCGGCAGCTTTACAAAGATCTCAAGACCCTAAGTTTGGCACTTTAGGGTTTGGGGTTTAGGGTTTAGGGTTTAGGATTTAGGATTTAGGGTTTAGGGTTTAGGGTTTAGGATTTAGGGCTTGGGGTTTAGCGTTTGGGGTTACAAAGATCTCGAGAGCCCCATGCCCCTTAATTAAGGAAGATACCTTACAAGGCATAACCCAGAGTTTAAGGTATGTTCCTAAACCCTAAACCCTAAACCCTTATAGATCCCTTAAAGGCCCCTATACTTTGAGGTATATTCCTTATTTAAGGGGTATTGCGCTCTCTGGGCCTAAGGTTGACACGAATGTAGGAGCCTTAAAGATTAGAATAGGGTTTAGGGTTTAGGGTTTAGGGTTTAGGGTTTAGGGTTTAGGGTTTTGAGGGTATGGTCCACTATAACTATAAGAAGGAACCCCCAAAAATGGTGTGGATATTTATTCAGACCCCCTATAGTCGCCTAAGAGCCCCAATATAATGGTTAATCCGGTAGTGCACTATCGGAACTGAATGAATGCCAGCCGTCTTCCCGGAGCCGTCTTCCCGCTTGTGCAAGACCCAGAAAGCCCAATACCCCTTAAGTAAGGAACATGCCTTACATCATAATAGTAAGGCCCCTATAACTTAAAGTATATTCCTAAACCCTAAACCCTTATGGATCCCTTTAAGGCCCCTATAACTTAAGGTATATATTCCTTTTATTTAAAGGGGTCTTGGGCTCTCTGGGTTCCCGGTTGTGCAAGAGCTTGAAAGCGTCCACAGAAGACCTTGGGTCACTAAACCCATAAACTCCTGCTAAACCCTGATAAACCCTAGGGTTTAGGGTTTAGGGTTTAGGGTTTAGGGTTCCTAATTCATGAACCCTAAACCCCAAAACCCTAAATCCTAAGCCCACAGAAGGCCTTGGGTCATTCCCCGGGTGTGAAGAAGCCACGAAACGTCATCGACTCCCTGCCCTCAACCCAAAGAGCCCAACTTACCCCTGAAAATACGAAATATATACCTTAAAGGGCTCCTTAAAGGGATCTATAAGGGATCCATAAGGGAATGAAGGAATATACCTTAAATCATGATATTAGTGCCTCTATAATTCAAGGTCTATTCCTTACTTAAGGGGTAAGTTGGGCTCTCTGACTCTGAGGGGAAGACCAGATGACCCAGCTAGTCGCAGGTCACCACGAACTCGATCGGCTCCGCCCACCTCCATGTCAAGGCCGTTCTGATTTAAAGGTTGCCTGTCAAGGTTTCCAAGACGTAGAAAAGTTGTTAGGAGCATTGACCGAACATGTGCCGGATCTCAAATGCCTTTGAGGCGATCAACAAGCACGCCGTGCTTCCACAGGATCTTCATGCAGGTAACTTTTGCTAAGGACGAGAAGCATCACTCTGGAATCAGAAACACAGCAGCCTTCAAGCAGTTTGGGCCTTAGGGTGAGAGAAGGTGCGGGCATCTGCGATGGTGGGGCTGAAGGGGAGTTCTGAAACCCAGGCGTTGAAACATGGTCCCTACATTGCCAGGGATTACAAAGCATGCGAACTAACAACATGAATACATACCTGATCTACAGTACAAAAAAGTTCGGAACACCATCCATTCTGAAAAAAACTGCCCGCACGGGAACTTCCCTACGCCGGGATGCGCCTGTCTTGCAGGACGGCGGCATCCACGGTGACGTACACCGGGAACTGGATCGGCTGCCCTGACGGGTTTGGGGATGGTTTAGGGCAGCTTAGGGCCCGCTTGCGGCTTGAGCGCTCAGGGCTAGGGTCTCTAAGTCCAAGTTAGGGTGCTTATCAGGTATATGTTGTATAACATATATATATATATATGTGTATGTATATATTTATAACTAATATCAGTAGATTGGTGCCAAGGGAGCAGCTTTGTCCATGCGGAGCTGCGGCTTTCGGTCCAAGCCAAATCGCTCTGAAATGAGACCAGGAAGAGCCTAATGTAGAGGCCTAAATAGTTTAATAAGGTTTTGGGGGTTCCTTATTATTATAGTTATAGAAGAATGGACCCGAAAACCCTTATTCTCATTATTAAGGCCCCTATATTAGACCCGTGCTCAACAACTTTTGGGCCGCCTCCCGGGTAAGTCCCGAAGCTTTTAGGGCTTAGGGTTTATAGGGTTTAGGGTTTAGGATTTAGGGTTTTAGGGTTTACAGGGTTTATATGGTTTATAGGGCTTAGGGTTTAGGATTTTAGGGTTTAAGGTTTAAGCTTTAGGATTTAGGGTTTAGTGTCAATAAGGTTCAGGGATGTTGAGATGATGAGAGAGACTGTCCATAGGGCCTTTGTTCGCCGCATCCATGAAGGTCACGTATGGGTAACCGTCCTCGACATGAGGGTTGGCCGGACAGGGATGCAGGCTTCGTGCAGTGAGATTCCTGGAACAGGTTTCAGAGTGTCTTTGCTTCACTTCACTGGGGCCAAAAAGCAAAGGCGGTCCCTCTCAGGGTCTCCCTGAATTCTTTCAGGGAAGGCGGCTGAGCATGCAATCTGAATGTCCAAAACCCGGTGCAGAAAGTTACACAGTGTGCTCGGCTTAAGAGCAAAGACTGCAGTTCAATCTAATCATGCCCAGAGAACCCAATACCCCTTGAATAAGGAATCTACCTTAAACCATAATATTAAGCCCCCTATAATTTAAGGTATATTCCAAAACCCTAAACCCTAAACCCTAAACCATATTCCTTATTTAAGGAATATTGGGCTCTCTGGGTGGTTCTTGTAAGGGTAACAAGTCTGACGCCACGTAGTACCCCTCTGATGGCTCGATCCCTTGGTCTCCAAGTATACAAATAATACATACTTTGGGGTCTAAAGTCTGCAAATAGTACCTACTTTGGGCTATTTGGAGCCCCAGGGGATGACCACCACCGAAACCACCGCTGCTCAAGGTCTGCATGGTTTAGGGTTTAGGGTTTAGGGTTTAGGGTTTAGGGTTTGGGTGCATTGAGTGCTGCTGTCGTGCGTTTCGTGCAAAACGATTCTGAGTCTCAACTCAGCGGCAACATCACGCGAATGAAGAAGGCACAAACCTAGGTAAACTTAACGGAGAGATAATGCAACAAAGATAATATGCAAAACTGACGAAGTTTGCGCATATGCTCTATGACTCTATGTGTTGTCAACTGTATGCAACCGAAAATGTAACAGAAGTACATCCATCATCACTGCCGGAGAACTGTCAATGTACTGCCAACGCCTCGAAAGCCGGATACTGAAGCTTCGACAAAGGCACGAGAACGGCACGGCCGACATGCCCAAAAATGCGGTGATGCTTAAAGCCGGGAAATCGACACCACGACGGAGGACATCCGCAAGTCACTAGCACAATCTACACATCACCTCCCCACCTTAAACCCTAAACCCTAAACCCTAAACCCTAAACCCCTAAACCTGTAAACTCTAAACCTCCTGCGGCCCTCGGCCATGCCGGAACAGCAACCCGACAAAATCTAGAACAAAAAGCAGAGAAGAGTCCCCAGCTTGGCTTCGGAGGATTCTCTAAGCAAGTTCCAAAAACTCAGCTTGCTAATGTGTCTTAAAAACGCCCTGACCATAATTAGAATAGGGTTTTTGGGGCCCTTTATAATATAATCATAATAGGGAGCCCCCAAAGTAGTATAGGTAATTCTTGCTAATGTGTCTTCAAAACGCCCTGACTCCAATGCCGAGCTCAAAGCCAAAAGGAAAGTTCAAACTATCCCATTTAAGGTGGCACACCCTAGAAAAGTGACCTTTGCTGGCGATGCTTGGAGCCTGCAGCCCTCAAGCCCAAAACCTCTAAACATGACATCCATGAAACGTCCTCCCTGCACTTCGCGATGAGCTGGGACCCGGTGTCGTCCTTGATGTGAACATGGTTTTTCCATGCCTCGCAGAGTTCATGGCAAGGGCTGGGAGAGGGAGGGACAGGGAGAGTTGCGGCGGAATCTCAGCTGTTGCGCACATGCGCAGGACGGTTCGAATGTACCACCCAGAGAGCCCAATACCTCTTAACTAGGGAAAATACCTCAAACTATATAAGGGCCTCAATATAATGATTTAAGGTATATTCCTTGATTATGGGGTCCCTTGGGCTCTCTGGCAACCCTACAACCCTAAACCCTCAACCCAAAACCCAAAACCCTAAACCCTAAACCCGACTTCAGTCGGCGGCCCATGTTGAGATGCCTGAGGCCGGGCCAAGAAATCCTGAACCACACAGGGACCAAAGTCAATGTGGAGAATCTACCCATGGGCCCGATAGTAGTTCTTTCTTGGGGGTTCATATTTAGAACCCTATAAGGTAATCCGAAAATGGAATTAGGACCAAAGTCAACTTACTCCAAGTACCCTGCAATGGGCGTATATGGTCCCAAATTAAGACAAGTTAAGGGTATTTAGGGTCTCATAGAGGGTACCCATAGGCCCCATAGTA